CTCAGCCTTCCTTCTTTAACACAGTGCTTCCTGTTGTGAGGATCCCATAAAATTATTTCATTGCTACTTCACGACTGAAATTTTGCTGCTGTTATGAATCACAAAGTGAACATCTGATATGCAAGATATCTGATATGTGAAAACCATAGGGGTCAGGACTCACTGACAGAGACCTACCTGCCTAGGGGGTGGTACCACCCATGGTGAGCTTAGCCCTCCACAGGTATGCCCTGTCCAGTTTGATGCAGCCAATTCTCAATTAAGGTACCCTCTTCCCAGGTGACTCCAATTATGACAAGTTGACAAAAAGCTAACTGCACATCCCGCCCTCAGAAACACAGTGGCAAAAATACTCAAGCATGTCACCCTATAGCCCCCAGAATGAGCCAAGGCGCATTCAAGGCTCTTTCTTTTGCAACTTCTTTTTACTACAATGCATAAACCATTACTTAAGGAAAAGAATGTTACTAGTATTATCCCTGAACATCCGGACATTCTCTGACACTTACTGAAAGTCAGAGATAAATAAGCAATGAGACCAAAATTTGAATCCAATTCATCCCATACTCCCCAGACTTGAATGAAGCATGGTGAGATTCAAGAGTCGCTAGCTACACACCACTTACAAAACCAAAAGTATCTGTGCATTGTTTGGTTCTTAGGGCTTCCTTAAAGATTTATTATTTTTAAGTGTATGCCTTTGTGAGTTCATATGCATCATATGTGTGTAGGAGCCCATGACGGGCAGAGGGCATCAGATCCTTTCTAGCTACCATTCATTCTGATACTGGGCACCAAACCCGGGTCCTCTCAAACAGCAGTGCGTGTTCCTAACTGCTAAGCCATCTCTCCAGCCCCTTGCATTCAGGAAAACATGTCTCAAAACCTTAACTCCTGACCTTTCCATCACCAGTCATGCCCCACCACCCCTGGCTCTAACATACATTTTTCAAATAAGACAGCTACATAAACACTTCTCCAGCCATAGAGTCTTCTCAGCAATTTAAACAAAAGCATAAAATTTTGTAAACTAGATTTTAAGCCAAAAATGTACCGAGTGGTCCCAGATACACACAGGTAAAGGCACATAAAAAGAGACAAAGAAGTGAAGGAAATACCTTCAACAGCCCTGAGGGAGAGACTACAATAATCAAAGTTTCCTCATTTCTGTTTCCTTAGGAGCAAAGCCTGCACACCATGGGGTCTGGAGGCCCCGTACTTCAGCCCAGAAAATAGTCAGAGATGTGGTGATCAGTGAAGCCATTACTATTGATCATAGACCTGCAGGAGAACATGAGCCAAACTGTGCCTGTTATGTTTATGAAATAATATTCCCAAGTGAAACAAATAAGAATTGATTCCTGAGAAAATACAGTTGATGAGGATGTAAATAAATGATCATTATAAAGACTCCACAACTCCTCCTACATAGCCTTTGTTTATCCATTACTGAAATTACATTTGGGCATAGGATTTTATCTAAAAGCTTTCATAAACATTTCTATACAAGTCCTTTCACATCTAGTGGTTCCCCCAAAACTTTGATGTCCTGAAAAATCTAATTATTACTGGTAACTTTAAAAGATCACAGTAATTTATTTTTGTCAAATGTGACTAAAGATTAATGGATACAATCAGGAATAATTTGGTAAAAACATATCAAACACAGAGAAAGCAAAATTTGTTGTTAAGTGAAGCATCAAATATAATAAAAGAGCAAATTCCATGAATGAACAGCAACAACACGCAATTCATTAACCAAAGGCCTATGGTTATTTCACACTTCAGAGGGCCACTGATATAATCAGAAACCACAGTAAGAGGATAAATACAAACTACCTTCAGCACTTCCTTATATGTTTTAATTATAAACACTATGCCCATCCCTTCAGTAAATCATAAACTTACAAAAGACAGCCAGGTGTATATCATTTTCTTATATGTTATTAACTCTAAGACTCTCACAGAAACTCAAATTATCACCATCCTTCTGGTTATCATCATCGTCGTCATCATCACTACCATGACCCACAATGCACCATCACTACCCACAATTCCCTGATCACTACTGAATGTCTACTTCACTGCTCAAAGGAAAAGAACATATTTGTTAGTTTCTAACTTACTAGCTCTTGTATGCTCGGAGCTTGTTCAATACTTAACTCGTAATGGTTGGGTTTTAAAAAAGAAAGAAAACAAATGAGGCTGGAGGTGCAGTTCAGAAGTTATGTACTTGGCAGGCCTGAGACACCAGGTTTAGTATCTAGCACACACACAAAAACAAAAAATAGCCAGACACGCTGTCACATGCCTGAAATCCAAGCACTTGGGAGGCTAAGTCAGGAGCATCTAAGGTTTGAGGCCAGGCTGGGTGACCAAGCCAGCTCATGTCTCACAAACAAGTAGGTGGAAAGTGACTAAAGAAGACATCATTGACTTCTGTCCTTCTGTCCACTCAAAAAGACCACACACAAATGTACATACACACATACAACACACACACATGTGCATACATACATACCACACACGCACATGTGCATATACACATACAACACACAAAATGCAGCAAACAGAAACTTCATTCACTTAAGTGAAAATATATAAAACAGCATTTTCCATTGATAAGAATGAACACAACATGCATGAAAACCTACTAAACACACGGTTATTGAAAGAAGCACACTGTAGGAGAATAACTCCATTGATCTTGTCTAAGCTTTTAAACAGAAATAGATAAAGTACACAAAAGAGAACAAGGGTGACACTTTTCAAAAGGAGAAAAAAAATAAGAAGCCTGTGGTGATGGTTTCATTCCAATTCCCTCATTATCCTCCAACCACCCTGGCTCTCAAGCTCCTGCCACCCCACCCTCTTCAGTTCTAGGCCGGCCTTTAAACAGTTTCCTCTGCTTCTACAAATCCTTTCTCATGTTCTCCGTTTATTATTGATAACAGGCCAATTTCCCGTTCTGGATTCTAATCTACTTTCTCTGTCTGGGTTCTATTTTTTCTGCTTCTCAGCAATAGTAGGTGTGCACATGTACATTCATATTCTTCCCCTCCCCTCCTTTCCCCCTCCTTTTTCTCCCCCCACTTCTTTCCTTCTACTTCCCTCCTCTCCCCCAGAGATAACAATCTCTATCTTCCAACTTTGACAAAGCAACGCCTTTCTTTATTACCTCCTCTATAAGGCAGCAGTGTACAGTCTCTATTACCTCCTTTATAAGGCAGCAGTATATAGTCTCTATTGCCTCCTCTGTAAGACAGCAGTATACAGTCTCTATTACCTCCTTTATAAGGCAGCAGTACATAGTCTCTATTACCTCCTCTATAAGGCAGCAGTGTACAGTCTCTATTGCCTCCTCTGTGTTTCCCTGTTTCCTTCTCTATAAGGCAGTGGTATGTGTTTTCAGCCCTGAAGTTTCTTCCTCCCACACGTAAGTGGTTCATCACACACTGATTCTGTCTGTTCTAGATCAGTTCTAAGTGTGGGGTCCCTTTCTTCTGTTTTAGAATCTTTAACCCTGTCTCTGTCTCTGGGAAACAAACGTCACCTTCTGTGCACACCTATGACAGCCCTTTCCTCATCCTTCCCCAGGACTGTGCTGCACCTTCTCTTCTTCTACGACTTGCATATTGAACTTCAGTCCTGCACTGAAGTGTTCCTCCTAGTCTTCACCAAACAAAAACAGAAAAGGGAAAAAAATCCTTCAACAAATGACCTTCTCAACCCCACTTCACCATGACATTTGTCTCCCCGTCTCTGGAGAATCTGTGGACATCTCTGAGCCTTCTTCATCTCCAGCATCTCGAGAAGCCTGCTCAGGAAAGTCAAGGCCTTCACCTGGCACACCTCCTGTGTCTCAACTCTTTCCTCCTAATCATACTTGCTGGCCTCCATGTTCCAAGTTAAAGCACCTGTGGTCCCCACATGCACTGATTCCATGCAGTTCTTCCGGTATATTTCTTCAGTCCAGGTCTTTCTCAGTAAGTAATAGTTGCCTATTAAACTGTTACACAGGCCAGTAGCTTTTCAGCCCCTGATCACTCTCTGTGATAAGAAACTCTCTCTTGTATCCATGGGGAAGAGGCAGTAGAGAAGTAGAGGGAGAGATAAAGAGAGGGAAGGAGGGGAGGGGAGCAGGAGGAGAGGGACAGAATATAGGTATGTACCTTTGTCTATAAGGCCTCTGAACACATTGAAAGGTACATGTTCTCTATAATATGAGCTATACACAAAGGCTCCCTAAAGGCACGGACCACAGATCATCTTTGTATTCTCTTGTAGGACCTGGTATACTACTACACATGCAGTAAGTACCCCAAATACTTGCAAAATTGAAATTAAAAGAATGATTTTTTTTTCTACAAATCAAGAAAACAACTGACAACAGGAGGGGAAAAATAAGTTTCCTGACTGTCTCCTACTAGAAAGGATTCTCTTTGGCACAGAAAATTATCACCTAGAAGATATTAATTCTTTTGAGTAGGTCAGTTCCAAGCTCAAAGTCCCACAAAGATAGAAATATATCCCCTTTCCACTCTCCCTCCCAGGTTGGCCAGAAAGCTAAGCACAAGCTGCCTTGTGATAACTGTGAACTGTTCTTCCCACATGCTTTAGCATGTTTGAGTGTTATCTCCCTCAAACTGTACACCATGATTGGAGACATGAAATGATATGGAAACTGGGGTCAATGTGGTAAAAGAACAGGCTCTGGTATGTCTATATTTCAAATTTACCATGACTCAGAATAAACAGAAAAATACTTAGGTTACAACGTTTACATGAATGAATTTTCAGAAATATGGAGTTTTATGTGCAAATAAATCTGCTGAAGCAAAATATGCACTTATAGTTATATTTAATTTTAAAACTGTGGCAAGTGCCTAGATTTTGAAAACTGCAAGAGTTTTCACGAAGGATGGAAAATCGGGGAACACCAAGAGAAATGTGAGCTCATGAGTGAACACTGTCTTCATTTCCAAAGAGGACGGACTCACCTCTGGTGACAGCATCTAGCGCACAGCCGCTTCCTGTGGCCCCTCCCCCAATAACAAGGATGTCAAATTCCGATGTGTTCTGCAAAGTCAGGAGCTGAGCTTCTCTGGAAGGAGGTTCCCTGTTCACAGGCTCTGTGTGGCACCCTGCTGCTTTCAAACAAGCCAGGTTCACCTGAAGGAAAGTGGACAGGTTCTAGTCACACATCTGGAATGATAATTTAGCAAAGTGTACAGTACACTATGAAGAAGACAACCAGAGCTAGTGTATGGTTCACATGCAGTAAGAGGTCTCAGCTACTTACCCACACAACACCTGATCTCAAATTCAATCTCTCAATTCTTTCTAGCGCTAGGTAGCAATTCCCAAATGTTTTACCTAAACCAATTTGAGGAATCAGAAGGAAGTAGCATCAAACCATTCAGGTAAGATTTAAAAGTATAGACATCATGTGAAAGGGGAAAATAACACTTTATAACCACTGTGCACCTTCTTAAAAATACATATTTCTTATTCAACCCTCATGACAAAAATATATTCTAGATTTTGTGACTTGTAGGTTTAAATCAGCACAATCTAAAAGTCTACTTAGCAGCAGTTAGTATCTTGTTTGGGTAAATCTATGCTTAATGGGAGTATTTTTCAAAGACTTGAGTAAGAGACTTCCCCATCAAATATTTAAATATAAAGGTAAAGATTTTCAATGTTTACAGTACATTATTTAGATTTTAAAAATGTAATAATAATCTGATTCAAACTAGACATAATCCTCCTAAATTTCTTGGTTCTTTAATAACTAACTCATCATCAGCTCAAACCAGAAATACTTGTCCCTTTTTTGTCTGTGTTTATTTTTGCAAAATGTTTGCCTCGTATGTGTAAGACTCTTCAATCCATACCCAGGACAACCACAAGCAAAAAGGATTGGGCTACTGTGCTGATCCACATTTACAATTGCAACACTCTGGAGACGAAGGCAGGAGATCATCCTAGGGTCCACAGTGAGTCCCAAACCCAGCCTATGCTACATGGTGACAACTTGTTAAACACACGCACACACACACACACACACACACACACACACACACACACACACACACACACACACCAGAACAAGAAGAAAAGTTCAAACACATGGAAAAATAGTTATTTGGATTTTTTCTTACACTACTGGTGGATTCATTTACCACAATGAAAGATAATTGACCCATGTTGCTCCTTTTTTTAATCCAACTTCTATTTCTCTCTATTCCATCAGGATCAGCACAACGAAGGCTCTTTCCCACCCTGCCCTAAGTCACCTATGAAGCTCAGAATGAACAAGGCCAAGCTTACTCAAGAAGAGGAGCTTTCATGTATCTACAAGACAGCTTGAGATTCTTCATGACTGGCCCAGCCTGGCCTAAGGGCTGGGCTTACAGTGTTCACCAGCGTATCCAGCTGTGGTTACTGCTCATTATTATTCTACTTATTCAAGATAAGGGATTTTTTTAATTCAGATAAACCAAACTACTCCCTATGACTGAATTAACTATTATCAAACAACTGGATTTCTATAAAAATAAAGCCAGAAGTCTAGAGAACATTGGCAAACCCTGTCTTGGGCCACAAGGACTCAGCTTGAGTCTCTGCACCCCTGTCTTGGAAGTCTGACAAGCTGAGTGTGATCCCTAGGGCCCACATAGGAGGGGAGAACAGACTCCAACAAACTGTCCTTTGCCCTCCATACTTACAACATGGTGCATTCATTTTTAAATTATTAATCCAAGTGCCCAAATTCAAAACCATCCCATTCTGCATGTGCCTCCTCCTATTCATGTATTAATAACTGTCCTCATGTAACTAGCCAAATAAAAGAAACTGCTATGTTCTGTGAAGGACTGGACTCTTCTAGCTATGGTCTTTGTCTTCTTCACCTAATGAGAAGAAAAGCAGAACACATGGAGAGATAGTATATATGTACATAACACATTTGTAGAAAAAGCAAATGCCAAAATGCGGGGTGGGGGCAGACTATGACCACTGTGGGGAGGGAGGGAGAACTGTGCCATGACAGATGGGAAAGACTTGGACATGGGACTGACAAGTGACTAAACCGCCAGAGCATTTTCACACATCAACAGAATTGCTGACATTTTCTGCCTGGTAAGTTTTCTAGAAGTAGCTGAGAAATAAGTTTAAAGACCGTGTTATGGTATAGTTCATTAGAACTTGTTAATTCTAAAAACTCCCACGAAGATTGAACAAGGGCTTCTCAGGAGGTGAGGGAGATGTGAGGAGCATCGGTTATTCCCATTGGCTACACTGTCCTGTCAGCTTCCTGACCTTTTGTGGGAATAGTCTTAGCCTGTTCTATCTTAACATTAAAAACACCTGTTTCATCTTTATGTGGCGGCTACATGCCTGCGATCTCAGTGCCCAGGAGAGCATGAAGCAGGAGGACTATAAGCTCAAGGCCAGCCTGGACTACAGGGTAAGACCTTGTCCAAAACAACATTTCCATGTATGGAATATATGTTTCCAACATCTCCTATGTTTCTAACATTTATCGTAAAAATTCTTAAAAGATTCAAAATCCCCTGAATTACCCAAGACAACTATTTTTCTCCTGTTTTTTTTTTTTGTTTTTTTTTGTTTTTGCCCCTCTTTCTTGGCTTCCTTTGGATAGCACTCAATTGGCCAACCATAATGAGTGGCATGCCTCTTAGGTGTGTCCTGTTCATTCTTCTCAGATGGCTAGGAACTCTCAAGAGAATCTCACATATCATCCAATACTCTTCAGGTCACAATGATTTCTAATTTGGCGAACCCCAGATATGAAATTGGTTAATTAGCACTTACAGTTGAAGTCACATGTGTGTCTCAATATTAGTCTCATGGCTTTATCTCCCCAAACTATTGTTTTACCTGCCAGCAATCTGCATCCTTGTGTCCACACTGAAACCAGTTAGCAAAGATTCGCATTGACTTTATTTGTAACTGTGCCAAAGCAAGTGGAACTTCAAAGTCCTTCACCTGATGTCTTAGATATTTTTCCAGTAGCTGTGATAAAATACTCGACATAACTTAAAGAAGGGGTTTATTTTGGCCCACAGTTTGAAGGTACAATCTATCATGTCAGGAAGCCTAAGCAGCAGAAGCTTGAAGTTGCCAGCCCAACAACATCTAACCTCAGAAAGCTGAGTGATGAACACTTGTGCTCAGATCTTCCCACCTCTGTTAATCTAATCAAGATGCCCAGAGACCCATCACTGAGGGACAATGAAATCTCATCAACTTGACAACTGAGATTAACCACCACACCTGGCCAGTGTCTGAATTGCTGTATACCTCTGCAAATGGAGAATAATCAGTGACTTTACAAAAAAGTAGCAATGAAAAGAATACATGAACCTCAAATACATTCTGCTAAGTCAATGCTCTGCAGATTAAATAAGTCTGAGGCACAGGCACACCTAATCAATTCACCAATGAGTGCCCATGACTGGAATGCAGAACGGTCACCACACCACTCTGTGACCTACAAGGCTGAAAATGCTGCCTTGCTTGTCCCACAGAGACAAACCAATCGTTCTCGGTGCTCAGCAAAAGAAGCCGGGGAGGAGAGTGACATCCTTTACACTCAGCAATTGGAAGGCAGAGGCAGATGGATCTCAGAGTTCAAGGCCAGCCTGGTCTACATATTAAGTTCCAGAACAAGCAGGGCAACTCAGAGAAAAAAAAGAAGCCAGACTCAGAAGTCCTGTACTAGATGATTGTGACCATTCTATGCAAACAATGTTCACCAAAAAACAAAGTATGGGATCAGAAACAGGTCAGTGATTTCAGGTTCTGGGGAAAGACTGACTACAGAGGGCATGAGGGACACGTTAAGGATGACTGACATGTCCTGTAACTTAACGGTAGTTGTGATTACATAACTGAGTGTTATAAAGAATTGATTTCACTATAAAGAATTGATCCCCCAAATTATATCTCAATAAAACTGAATTAAAAGTCATAGCCAACTGTGGATACAGAATTTACGTACTAGGCAGTTTTATAAGGCGTGTGCTTTTTTTCTGCTCATTGAATTTCAATAGTAAATGCTCATCAGGTACATTAATACTGGGGGGGGGTGCTGATTATTGTGGAAGTTGTACTGAGGAGTTCCTCCAATTTAAATATATATATTTACATACACGCACAGTACTATTGAGGGTGATTTATTTAATTTCTGACAGTACTTTAAAATAACATTTTATTTTTGTTTATTTCTTTCAAGAAAAGCTGGAAAGTGTTGCAACTGAGAAGCTAAGCACCAGGCTTATTTTAGAGGCAGTAAACACAGCCTAAGGCCCTACTTAAAATTATGACAGGAGAAAGACTCATTTTGTTTTCATATGGCTTTGAGTAACAAAAACACATCTGCACTCTACCTTCTCTAGAATATGTTGATTTCAGGGAAATAAAGATGGGCGGAGATAATGCAGCAGTGGTGCTAAGTAATGACACACTTTAAGAAAAGGGCCTTTGTGCTCTGCTCCTTCCAGATCTGTCCTTTTCTGGCTCTCCCTTCTCCAAGCTTGCAATCTGATTAGACAGGGATCTGGGAGATGAGCTCTGCTGATGGATGAACCCAAAATGTCTTAACTGGAATGCTCATGAGACCTGCAGGTGCTGAACTTAGCACCACTCATTCAACAAATGACTGTTTGGGGCATTCCCTTAAGCATTCTATAGACTAGGAGACAAAAAGATTTGGAGCCAATTCTAATATTACTTACAGGGGTGTTTGAGGCAGAGACAGGGTTAAAGGGGCTCCCCTTCCCCGTTGTGTGTGTGTGTGTGTGTGTGTGTGTGTGTGTGTGTGTGTGTGTGTGTGTAGGGTTCAATCCCCAATACTATAGAAGTCAGGTAGCACACGCCTGTAATCCTAACAGTCGATTACAAGAGAATCAAAAGTTCAAAGTCATACTCAGCTACATAAAGAGTTCAGGGCCAGTGTAGTTACTATACAAGGGGGGAGGAAGGAAGGAAGGAAGGAAGGAAGGAAGGAAGGAAGGAAGGAAGGAAGGAAGGAAGGAAGGAAGGGCTGCCAGTCACAGAGGGCATCTCATATCATGGCCAAGCTTCCCTAGAAAGGCCAGCTAAACCAAGTCAGGAGTAGTAGGCATCAGCTGGGTGAGACAGCA